GTTCGGTATACAAAGAAGAAAATTATCTATGCGATTTTGTAAGCGAGGATGCTGTGGAAAATCAATTCCCATAATTCTAACATTGACTCAACATTACACTCAACAGCAGTGTTCGGTATACAAAGAAGAAAATTGTCTATGCGATTTTGTAAGCGAGGATGCTGTGGAAAATCAATTCCCATAATTCTAACATTGACTCAATTCTACACTCAACAGCAGTGTTCGGTATACAAAGAAGAAAATTGTCTATGCGATTTTGTAAGCGAGGATGCTGTGGAAAATCAATTCCCATAATTCTAACATTGACTCAACATTACACTCAACAGCAGTGTTCGGTATACAAAGAAGAAAATTGTCTATGCGATTTTGTAAGCGAGGAGACGGATCCTTTATGGATAGGAGCCTGCGATGGTGTTTTTGCAGAATGTACTCTTGGCTCTCAAGCACATTTTGAAAATTTAAGATATTATGATCAAGCAGATTTTCACAATTTATATTATCTGAAAGAGCAGTATTGCGAATATTATGAAGAAATTTGTCCTTGCCCTATGATTGAGATCATTTACGTATAATGCTGGTTTATGTGAATCTGTTGTAGAAATTAATTTTAGAAATTGAATTTTGAAGAAGAAACCAGCAAAGTTTTATGAAATCCCAAATACAAGAATATGGATGACACAGGTAAACAAATTTTCAAGTTCATTTGTTCCTTTATAGTAATTGTTTTTACTTCTTTAAATGATAACATTTATTTTTAAACAATAATAATTTTATTATCTAGAAATAGTATTATTATTAAGTACTGATTTAGAAATAGGAAACTTAGTAAAAGGTTACGTGTCTTCTGATTTTGGCAGCATGTCTGAAAAACACATTTATTGCAAATATAATTTTGCATAGACCTTAACAAATTTTCATTTAAGACAAACAAATAATGCAGCAGGAAATGTGTATTTCAGCTGAACAATAAATTATAAATTATGCAAGATAATTGTATAAATTTATGTTCCTTACCAAGTGCCTTTATCTTGCAGATTCGGCTACAGTTGCAAACTGTCTCAGAGAGCTATCCTCATATCAAAGAATAAGAGAAGAAACCTGCAGAGTATTATAAAATCCAAATACAAGAATATGGATGACACTGAAGGTAACCAAATTTTTAACTTCATTTCTTTCTTTGTAGTAATTGTTCTTATTTCTTTAAATGACAATACTTAGGTTTTGAACACTAAAATGTTTATTATCTAGAAAAAAATATTAGTAATTCAGTATTGATTTAGAAAGACAAAATAAAAGGTTATGTGTCTTCAGATTTTGGATGCATGTATGAAATACATCTTTATTTAAAATACAATTTTGCAAGGATTTCAAGATATTTTCATTTAAGACAGACACAAATAATGCACCAGAACATGTGTAAGTGCAACTAAACAATAAATTGTAAATTATGCAAGATAATTGTATAAATTAATGTTCCTTATCAAGTTTCTTTATTTTGAAGATTCGGCTACGGTTGCAAACCGTCTCAGAGAGCTATCCTCATATCAAAGAATAAAAGAAGAACCAGCAAAGTTTTATAAAATCCAAACACAAGAATATAAATGACACTAAAGGTAAACAAATTTTCAAGTTCATTTGTTCCTTCATAGTAATTGTTCTTACTTAATTAAATGATAATATTTATATTTTGAACACTAATAATTTTATGATCTAGAAACCATATTGATTTAGAAAGAGAAAGTTTAGTAAAAGATTCCAGATCTTGTGATTTCGGCTACGTGTATGAAAAACATATTGATTGCAAATAAAATTTTGGAAAGATTTTAAGACATTTGCATTGAAGACAAGCCAATAATGCAGCAGAAAATGTGTAAATGCAGCTAAACAGTAAATTGTAAATTATGCAACTATATTATTTTATGTTCCTTCTCAAGTTTTCAGATTTTGCAGATTCAGCTACAGTTGAAAATCGTCTCAGAGAGCTATCCTCAAATCAAAGAATAAGAGAGGATACCAGCAAAGTTTTATAAAATTTAAATACAAGAATATGGATGACAAAATAATGTTTGTAAGCAGTCTTATAAGTAATAGGTATTATGTAGTAATGATATGTAAATCACATGGATTTCAGCTTTAAAATCACTGTATTTTGCTTTTGAATTTTTATATTGTTATCAATTATATTAACAAATTTTTATATTAAAAAGAAACACCTAGATTTAATTCCTTACTGTTACTGTAAGAAATTATAACGATTAATGATCTCCCAACCCTTTTTAAGTGTTTTATTGTTCATATGTATAATGCAACATAACAATAAATTTTGAAAACCATTCATTTATTTTATAGGTTCACTAAAAATAGCTGAGCTGGAAAAGGAACTCCAGCAGTCAAGTTTAGATGTTATCACTACCGACTTTGATTCTGAGATCCTGCCGTACGTTATCAGTTAAAAACAGCTGCAGAAGGACTGATTTACTCTTCATTACCCTAATCAATGTACAATCTACGATTTAAAGGGCCTGAGCCTTATACTCAATAAAGTCGTGGATACTTCGGTGGTCATCCCACACAAATATGTGAAAAGGTATAAAAGGTCTTTAAAGTCATTGGCCTTAGAATACTTGAATAAATCAATTCAAGACAGTATTTGTGGTCATGATCATATTGAGGAATGCCAGAACTTGTACGGAACTTATGCTGTGGAAAATCAATTCCCATAATTCTAACATTGACTCAACATTACACTCAACAGCAGTGTTCGGTATACAAAGAAGAAAATTATCTATGCGATTTTGTAAGCGAGGATGCTGTGGAAAATCAATTCCCATAATTCTAACATTGACTCAACATTACACTCAACAGCAGTGTTCGGTATACAAAGAAGAAAATTGTCTATGCGATTTTGTAAGCGAGGAGACGGATCCTTTATGGATAGGAGCCTGCGATGGTGTTTTTGCAGAATGTACTCTTGGCTCTCAAGCACATTTTGAAAATTTAAGATATTATGATCAAGCAGATTTTCACAATTTATATTATCTGAAAGAGCAGTATTGCGAATATTATGAAGAAATTTGTCCTTGCCCTATGATTGAGATCATTTACGTATAATGCTGGTTTATGTGAATCTGTTGTAGAAATTAATTTTAGAAATTGAATTTTGAAGAAGAAACCAGCAAAGTTTTATGAAATCCCAAATACAAGAATATGGATGACACAGGTAAACAAATTTTCAAGTTCATTTGTTCCTTTATAGTAATTGTTTTTACTTCTTTAAATGATAACATTTATTTTTAAACAATAATAATTTTATTATCTAGAAATAGTATTATTATTAAGTACTGATTTAGAAATAGGAAACTTAGTAAAAGGTTACGTGTCTTCTGATTTTGGCAGCATGTCTGAAAAACACATTTATTGCAAATATAATTTTGCATAGACCTTAACAAATTTTCATTTAAGACAAACAAATAATGCAGCAGGAAATGTGTATTTCAGCTGAACAATAAATTATAAATTATGCAAGATAACTGTATAAATTTATGTACCTTATCAAGTTTCTTTATTTTGCAGATTCAGCTACATATGCAAACTGTTTCAGAGAGCTATCCTCAAATCAAAGAATAAGAGAAGAAACAGCAATGTTTTATAAAATTTAAATACAAGAATCTCAATGACAGTGAAGGTAAACAAATTTTAAAGTTCATTTGTTTCTGTATAGTAGTTTTTACTTTTCTAAATGATAATATTTATTTTTCTAAGATTTATAATTTTATTATTTTGAAAAATATTATTCAGTATTGATTTCGATACAGAAAACTTCATAAAAGGCTTTGTGTCCTTGTATTTTGGCTGCATAAAAAACACTGTTGCAAATACCAGTTGCATCGTCTCAGAGAGCTATCTTAAAATCAAAGAATAAGAGGAGAAACCAACAAAGTTTTATAAAATCCAAATACAACAATATGGATGACAGTGAAGGTACACAAATTTTCAAGTTCATTTGTTCCTTTATAGTAGTTGTTCTTACTTCAAGTCATGTTTATTTTTTTAACACTGATAATTTTATTATCAAGAAAAATTTATTATTCAGAATTTAGAAAGAGAAAACTTAATAAAAGGTTTTGCGTCTTCTGATTTTGGTTGCATGTATGAGAAACACATTTACTGCAAATACAATTTTGCAAAGATTTTAAGACATTTTCATTGAATACAAACAAATAATGCAGCTAAACAATAAATTGGAAATTATGCAATATAATTGTATAAATTTATGTTCCTTACCAAGTTCCTTTATCTTGCAGATTCGGCTACAGTTGCAAACTGTCTCAGAGAGCTATCCTCACATCAAAGAATAAGAGAAGAAACCTGCAGAGTATTATAAAATCCAAATACAAGAATATGGATGACACTGAAGGTAACCAAATTTTTAACTTCATTTCTTTCTTTGTAGTAATTGTTCTTATTTCTTTAAATGACAATACTTAGGTTTTGAACACTAAAATGTTTATTATCTAGAAAAAAAATATTAGTATTCAGTATTGATTTAGAAAGACAAAATAAAAGGTTATGTGTCTTCAGATTTTGGATGCATGTATGAAATACATCTTTATTTAAAATACAATTTTGCAAGGATTTCAAGATATTTTCATTTAAGACAGACACAAATAATGCACCAGAACATGTGTAAGTGCAACTAAACAATAAATTGTAAATTATGCAAGATAATTGTATAAATTAATGTTCCTTATCAAGTTTCTTTATTTTGAAGATTCGGCTACGGTTGCAAACCGTCTCAGAGGGCTATCCTCATATCAAAGAATATGAGAAGAAACCAGCAAAGTTTCATAAAATCAAAATATAAGAATATGGATTACACTGAAGGTAAACAAATTTTCAAGTTCATTTGATCCTTTGTAGTATTTTTTCGTACTTCTTTAAATGATAATTTAAACAATATTTAACAATACTGGTAATTTAACAATAATTTCTGAAAACCATTCGTTTATATTACAGATTCATCAAGACATGTCCCAGCTGAAAAGAAAGGAGCGTCGCGCAGTAAAGGGAGGACTACTGGTGTTTACACTCCTTTACAACTCTTCCGTACATTAAGGACACACAGAACTGATGTATATTCTGAATTCCTGCCTTACGTTCTCACTGATGAACAGCTACACAAGCATGGATTTCCTGTTGATTCTCCTAATAACCTTGGACGAACAACTATGTATCGAGAAAATAGAGCAACAGATCCAACGCAACGTTGCTGCGTGCGTTGCAGAGACACTTTCTACATATTGGATGATGGAACTTACCATTCGGAAACGTTATGCCGTTTCCATACTAAAAAACTGACAGCTGGAACGTATGACTGCTGCTACGGCAATTCTATGTCTGAGGGATGTACGTGGCATTTCCATGTTACAGCGGAACGATCTCCCAGAGACGTGGAGTTTGTTAAAACACAAGAAAAGCATGAGCTAAATCGAAACCAGTCCCGCACAGTGTATGCCCTAGATTGTGAAATGTGCTATACCACGAGAGGCCTAGAAGTTGCGAAAATAGGAATAGTGGGCATGGATGGCTTAACGGTGTACGAATCCTTTGTCCTACCAGAACATCCGATATTGGATTACAACACTGTATACAGTGGGATAACAGCCAATGACCTGAGAGGTGTATCAACTACATTAGCTGATGTGGAAACATTTCTGTTAAAATTGCTAAATAAGAACAGCATCCTTGTGGGTCATGGCCTCGAGAATGATTTGAAGGTGAGCATATGGTTTCTATGATTACTTAGGTGAGAAACATATTAAGTAATATTTTCAACATTAAACTGCTGACAATAGACGAGCAATTTTTTTTGGGGGGGGAAGGTGCTAAATAAGATGGCGTGTAAAGATGATGGAACACTTTGATTTTATTTGTCTTTGTTCCTTCTGCTATCTGACATTTACCTCACTTTTTTTTTTCCCGTACATTATCTTTTAATTTACTCCTTATAAAATTTACCTTAATTTCATCATAACATATATCATTTCATCCAGTGTACTTTCAGTAAATTGTAAGCAAGAAATTGCAAATTTTAATAAGATTAATTTATGTTCTTTATCAAGTTTCTATGTTTTGCAGATTCGGCGACAATTGCGAAACGTGTCAGAGAACTACTTTAAAATCAAAGAATAAGAGAAGAAACCAGCCAAATTTTATAAATTCCAAATACAAGAATATAAATGAAGCTAAAGGTAAACAAATTTTCAAATTCATTTGTTCCTTTATTTGTTCTTACTTCTTTAAATGATATATTCATTTTTTGAACACTAATAATTTTATTTAGAAAAAAGTATTATTCAGTATTGATTTAGAAAGAGAAAACTTAGTAAGAGGTTTTGTGTCTTCCGATTTATCTGTAGCTATTAAAAAAACATATTTATTGCAAATACAGTTTCGCAGAGCTTTTAAGATATTTTCATTTAAGACAAATCAATAATGCAGCAGAAAATGTGTAAATGCAGCTAAACAATAAATTGTAAATTATGCAAGATAATTGTATAAATTTATGTTCCTTATCAAGTTTCTTTATTTTGCAGATTCAGCTACATTCCCAAATCGTCTCAGAGAGCTATCATCATATCAAAGAATATGAGAAGAAACCAGCAAAGTTTCATAAAATCAAAATATAAGAATATGGATTACACTGAAGGTAAACAAATTTTCAAGTTCATTTGATTCTTTGTAGTATTTTTTTGTACTTCTTTAAATGATAATTTAAACAATATTTAACAATACTGGTAATTTAACAATAATTTCTGAAAACCATTCGTTTATATTACAGATTCATCAAGACATGTCCCAGCTGAAAAGAAAGGAGCGTCGCGCAGTAAAGGGAGGACTACTGGTGTTTACACTCCTTTACAACTCTTCCGTACATTAAGGACACACACTCTTCCGTACATTAAGGACACACAGAACTGATGTATATTCTGAGTTCCTGCCTTACATTCTCACTGATGAACAGCTACACAAGCATGGATTTCCTGTTGATTCTCCTAATCACCTTGGACGAACAACTATGTATCGAGAAAATAGAGCAACAGATCCAACGCAACGTTGTTGCGTGCGTTGCAGAGACACTTTCTACATATTGGATGATGGAACTTACCATTCGGAAACGTTATGCCGTTTCCATACTAAAAAAAACGTCTTCCAATGGTGTTCCACAGCTGGAACATATGACTGCTGCTACGGCAATTCTATGTCTGAGGGATGTACGTGGCATTTCCATGTTACAGCGGAACGATCTCCCAGAGACGTGGAGTTTGTTAAAACAAAGAAAAGCATGAGCTAAATCGAAAACCAGTCCCGCACAGTGTATGCCCTAGATTGTGAAATGTGCTATACCACGAGAGGCCTAGAAGTTGCGAAAATAGGAATAGTGGGCATGGATGGCTTAACGGTGTACGAATCCTTTGTCCTACCAGAACATCCGATATTGGATTACAACACTGTATACAGTGGGATAACAGCCAATGACCTGAGAGGTGTATCAACTACATTAGCTGATGTGGAAACATTTCTGTTAAAATTGCTAAATAAGAACAGCATCCTTGTGGGTCATGGCCTCGAGAATGATTTGAAGGTGAGCATATGGTTTCTATGATTACTTAGGTGAGAAACATATTAAGTAATATTTTCAACATTAAACTGCTGACAATAGACGAGCAATTTTTTTGGGGGGGGGAAGGTGCTAAATAAGATGGCGTGTAAAGATGATGGAACACTTTGATTTTATTTGTCTTTGTTCCTTCTGCTATCTGACATTTACCTCACTTTTTTTTTTTCCGTACATTATCTTTTAATTTACTCCTTATAAAATTTACCTTAATTTCATCATAACATATATCATTTCATCCAGTGTACTTTCAGTAAATTGTAAGCAAGAAATTGCAAATTTTAATAAGATTAATTTATGTTCTTTATCAAGTTTCTATGTTTTGCAGATTCGGCGACAATTGCGAAACGTGTCAGAGAACTACTTTAAAATCAAAGAATAAGAGAAGAAACCAGCCAAATTTTATAAATTCCAAATACAAGAATATAAATGAAGCTAAAGGTAAACAAATTTTCAAATTCATTTGTTCCTTTATTTGTTCTTACTTCTTTAAATGATAATATTCATTTTTTGAACACTAATAATTTTATTTAGAAAAAATATTATTCAGTATTGATTTAGAAAGAGAAAACTTAGTAAGAGGTTTCTGTGTCTTCCGATTTTATCTGTAGCTATTAAAAACGTATTTATTGCAAATACAGTTTCGCAGAGCTTTTAAGATATTTTCATTTAAGACAAATCAATAATGCAGCAGAAAATGTGTAAATGCAGCTAAACAATAAATTGTAAATTATGCAAGGTAATTGTATAAATTTATGTTCCTTATCAAGTTTCTTTATTTTGCAGATTCAGCTACATTCCCAAACCGTCTCAGAGAGCTGTCATCATATCAAAGAATATGAGAAGAAACCAGCAAAGTTTCATAAAATCAAAATATAAGAATATGGATTACACTGAAGGTAAACAAATTTTCAAGTTCATTTGATCCTTTGTAGTATTTTTTCGTACTTCTTTAAATGATAATTTAAACAATATTTAACAATACTGGTAATTTAACAATAATTTCTGAAAACCATTCGTTTATATTACAGATTCATCAAGACATGTCCCAGCTGAAAAGAATGGAGAAGAGCGTCGCAGCAGTAAAGGGAGGACTACTGGTGTTTACAGTTCCTTTACAACTCTTCCGTACATTAAGGACACACAGAACTGATGTATATTCTGAGTTCCTGCCTTACGTTCTCACTGATGAACAGCTACACAAGCATGGATTTCCTGTTGATTCTCCTAATCACCTTGGACGAACAACTATGTATCGAGAAAATAGAGCAACAGATCCAACGCAACGTTGTTGTGTGCGTTGCAGAGACACTTTCTACATATTGGATGATGGAACTTACCATTCGGAAACGTTATGCCGTTTCCATACTAAAAAACTGACAGCTGGAACATATGACTGCTGCTACGGCAATTCTATGTCTGAGGGATGTACGTGGCATCTCCATGTTACAGCGGAACGATCTCCCAGAGACGTGGAGTTTGTTAAAACACAAGAAAAGCATGAGCTAAATCGAAACCAGTCCCGCACAGTGTATGCCCTAGATTGTGAAATGTGCTATACCACGAGAGGCCTAGAAGTTGCAAAAATAGGAATAGTGGGCATGGATGGCTTAACGGTGTACGAATCCTTTGTCCTACCAGAACATCCGATATTGGATTACAACACTGTATACAGTGGGATAACAGCCAATGACCTGAGAGGTGTATCAACTACATTAGCTGATGTGGAAACATTTCTGTTAAAATTGCTAAATAAGAACAGCATCCTTGTGGGTCATGGCCTCAAGAATGATTTGAAGGTGAGCATATGGTTTCTATGATTACTTAGGTGAGAAACATATTAAGTAATATTTTCAACATTAAACTGCTGACAATAGACGAGCAATTTTTTTTTGGGGGGGAAGGTGCTAAATAAGATGGCGTGTAAAGATGATGGAACACTTTGATTTTATTTGTCTTTGTTCCTTCTGCTATCTGACATTTACCTCACTTTTTTTTTTGTACATTATCTTTTAATTTACTCCTTATAAAATTTACCTTAATTTCATCATAACATATAACATTTCATCCAGTGTACTTTCAGTAAATTGTAAGCAAGAAATTGCAAATTTTAATAAGATAAATTTATGTTCTTTATCAAGTTTCTATGTTTTGCAGATTCGGCGACAATTGCGAAACGTGTCAGAGAACTACTTTAAAATCAAAGAATAAGAGAAGAAACCAGCCAAATTTTATAAATTCCAAATACAAGAATATAAATGAAACTAAAGGTAAACAAATTTTCAAATTCATTTGTTCCTTTATTTGTTCTTACTTTATTGTTGTTTAAATGATAATATTCATTTTTTGAACACTAATAATTTTATTTAGAAAAATATTATTCAGTATTGATTTAGAAAGAGAAAACTTAGTAAGAGGTTTTTGTGTCTTCCGATTTTACCTGTAGCTATTAAAAACGTATTTATTGCAAATACAGTTTCGCAGAGCTTTTAAGATATTTTCATTTAAGACAAATCAATAATGCAGCAGAAAATGTGTAAATGCAGCTAAACAATAAATTGTAAATTATGCAAGATAATTGTATAAGTTTATGTTCCTTATCAAGTTTCTTTATTTTGCAGATACAGCTACAGTTGCAAACCGTCTCAGAGAGCTATCATCATATCAAAGAATATGAGAAGAAACCAGCAAAGTTTCATAAAATCAAAATATAAGAATATGGATTACACTGAAGGTAAACAAATTTTCAAGTTCATTTGATCCTTTGTAGTATTTTTTCGTACTTCTTTAATTGATAATTTAAACAATATTTAACAATAATTTCTGAAAACCATTCGTTTATATTACAGATTCATCAAGACATGTCCCAGCTGAAAAGAAAGGAGCGTCCAGCAGTAAAGGGAGGACTACATGTGTTTACATTCCTTTACAACTCTTCCGTATATTAAGGACACACAGAACTGATGTATATTCTGAGTTCCTGCCTTACGTTCTCACTGATGAACAGCTACACAAGCATGGATTTCCTGTTGATTCTCCTAATCATCTTGGACGAACAACTATGTATCGAGAAAATAGAGCAACAGATCCAACGCAACGTTGCTGCATGCGTTGCAGAGACACTTTCTACATATTGGATGATGGAACTTACCATTCGGAAACGTTATGCCGTTTCCATACTAAAAAACTGACGGCTGGAACATATGACTGCTGCTACGGCAATTCTATGTCTGAGGGATGTACGTGGCATTTCCATGTTACAGCGGAACGATCTCCCAGAGACGTGGAGTTTGTTAAAACACGAGAAAAGCAAGAGCTAAATCGAAACCAGTCCCGCACAGTGTATGCCCTAGATTGTGAAATGTGCTATACCACGAGAGGCCTAGAAGTTGCGAAAATAGGAATAGTGGGCATGGATGGCCTACCAGTGTACGAATCCTTTGTTTTACCAGAACATCCGATATTGGATTACAACACTGTATACAGTGGGATAACAGCCAATGACCTGAGAGGTGTATCAACTACATTAGCTGATGTGGAAACATTTCTGTTAAAATTGCTAAATAAGAACAGCATCCTTGTGGGTCATGGCCTCGAGAATGATTTGAAGGTGAGCATATGGTTTCTATGTTTACTTAGGTGAGAAACATATTAAGTAATATTTTCAACATTAAGCTGCAGAACACAGATAATCTTTTTTTTTGGGGGGGGGAACGGGGGTTGCTAAATAAGATGGTGACAGAACATTTTATGTTATTATTTGCCTTTGTTGTTTCTGGTATCTGACACTTACCTCGCATGTTTTTTTTAGTAGATTATCTTTTTAATTCTTCTTCTCCAATGGCCCGTGAGCCCTGGGTGGTCCCTGGCCTTCTCCAGAAGTAGTCTCCAGGCATCTCTAATTTTTGCACTTGTTTCCTAGTTCTTAACCTTGGAGTATTGACATATTTTTCGACACAATCAATTCATCTTAACAGAGGTCTATTTCGCATGGGCTTTGCCACAAAGATTTTCCTGTAGCAACGACCTTCTTTTATTCTATTCTAGGAAAATGGCCAGCCCATTTATGTCTGTGTAATTTGATAACTTTTACAATATCATGTTGTTTGTAAATTTTACAAACCTTTAAATTAAATCCTCTTCTTCATGATCCAATCACTTGGACTCCACCAGGAAGGCAACACAAGATATTTCACTCAAAAATATCTTTTTAATTACTCCTTATAAAAAATCACCTTAATTCATCATAACAACTAACATTTCATCCACTTCAAGTTCTTGTAAAATGCAAGCTAGAAATTGTAAATTATGTAAGAGAAATGAATAAATTTATGTGGTTCTTATCGAGTGTTTATATATTGCAGATTCAGCTACAGTGGCGAAACGTCTCAGAGAGCTACCTTATAATCAAAGAAAAAGTGAAGAAACCAGCTGAATTTTACAAAATCCAAATACAGGGATATGGGTGACCCTACATATGTACAGGGATATAGGTGACCCTACATATGTACAGGGATATGGGTGACCTTATACAAAGTAAAGTCGTGGATACTTCGGTGGTCTTCCCACACAAATATGTGAAAGGGTATAAAAAGTCTTTAAAGTCTTTGGCCTTAGAATACTTGAATAAATCAATTCAAGACAGTATTTGTGGCCATGATTCTGTTGGGGATGCCGGAACTTGTATGGAACTTTATGCTGTGGAAAATCAATTCAGATTATTTTCATTTACATTACATCTAACAGCAGTCTTCGGTACACAAAGAAGAATATTGCCCATGCGATTTTGTAATCGACGAGACAGATCCTTTATGGATGGCAACCTGTGACGCTGTTTTTACAGAATCTACTGTAGACTATCAAGCACATTTAAAAAATTCATGATATTATCAAAAGCAGTCTTGGGTACACTGCGATAAAAATTGTCTATGTTTTCTTGTGACAATGAGACAGATCCTTTATGAATGGCAGCCTGTAATGCCAGCTTTCCAGAAACAATAAATTGTAAATTATGCAAGTTAATTGTATACATTAATGTTCCTTATAAAGTTTTTTACTTTTCAGATTCAGCTACGGTTGCAAATTTTCTCAGAGAGCTATCCTCAAATCAAACAATAGGAGAAGAAACCAGCAAAGTTTTATAAAATCCAAATACAAGAATATGGATGACACTGAAAGTAAACAACTTTTCAAGTTCTTTTGTTCCTTTGTAGTAACTGTTCTTATTTCTTTAAATCATAATTAAACAATATTTAACATTAATAATAATTTAACAATAGTATCTTAAAACTATTTTTTTTTGAAAGGAGCTGCCAGCAGTAAAGGGAAGACTACTAGTGTTAAAAAGTATGGCTACAAAAATAACACAGAAAATTATAAAAAAAATTATAATATACGAAGCATTGTTGAATATCAATGACAGAAGCGAGTTTTCTCTGGCGTCGGAGGGAAATTGATTGACATTGTCAACAGCGTTTTCCCTTTTACATTAATGCAATAAAAATTACATTTAAGACTTATATCTGAAATTCTATAACCTAAATATTTAGCTCAAAATTACAGCCAAAGCCATTTCCTCTGCTGATTACAGGGTATACCTTTCTATCTCTAAAGGGAAGCTGAAAACTGCTGAATTTCATTAGCGCCAAAAATCATGTGTCTAAACATTTTTTTTTAATAACAGGCATTATGTAAGAGGGTTTTTAAAGTTAGTATATTTTACGTTTAAATTTTTATACCGTTCTCTATGGTTTAAAAAAATGCATAATTTCTCAGTATTACAGTAAGAACTCTAACGAATAAAGATTTTTCCCTGCGTATCTGCTCATATGTGTAATGGAATATTGGGCATTGATGGCTTTAACAGCGTATGAATCTTCTGTCTCACCAAAACATCAGATATGGGATTTCAACACTGTATACAGTGGTATAACACCAAATGACCTAAAACATATGTAAACCACATTGGTTAATGCTCAAACTTTTTTGTTAAAATTACTGAACAATGACAGCACCCTCGTGGCTCATGACCTCGAGAACGATTCAAAGGCCAGCAGATTGTTTCTATCATACTTAGGTGAGAAACATCGAAAGTAATATTTTTAACACTAAGCTGCTCACAATAGCAAAGGAATTTTTTTCGGGGGGCTGCTATATAAGATGGCGACAAAAGTTGATAGAACACTATATGTGTTTATATGCCTCTGTTCCTTCTGGTATCTCACATTTACCTCACATGTTCTTATTTCAGTAGATTATCTTTAATTACTCCTTATAAAATTTACATTCATTTCATCATAATCTATAATATTTCATCCACTGGACTTTTAGTAAAATGTAAGCAAGACATTGTAAATTATGTAAGATGAACTTATGTTCTTTATTTTGCAGATCCCTCTACAATTGGAAAACGTATCAGAGAACTACTTTAAAATCTGAGAAGTAGAAAAGAATCCAGCGGAATTTAAAAAAAAAAAAAAAAAAAAAAAAAAAAATACAAGAATATAGATGACACTAAAGGTAAACAAATTTTCAATTTCATTTGTTCCTTTATAGTAATTGTTCTTAACTTATTGAATGATAATATTTAATTTTTGAATACTAATAATTTTTATCTAGGTAAAAAGTTATTATTCAATATTCATTTGGGAAGAGAATAGGTAGTAAAAGTTTTTTTTTAATTTTCCGCTTTTGGCGCAATTCTAACTTATTCGTCTTGTATTTGTATGCATAGCTTAATATTTTAAAATACGCATTATTTAAAACTTCTCTGTAAGGCTTAGTCAGTTTAAAGTTATTTTAATTTCACTTCCCGATCTAAAATACTTAAATTCATTGAAGAATTAATTGAACGGTATTGAAAAGTTCAGATAAGGCTTTGAAAAGAAAACTGAAAGAAATGGTTTGCTCTAATAACACCTGACAAAAATTTTGTTGAAATTTTCTTTGTCTATAGTACCTCATTTCAAAAACATAAAAATGATTCAATGAGTTAAGTTAATATTTGTATTTATAAATTTATTCATATGAATACAATGTGCAACTCTGTGAATGAGAAGGTAACAGAAATGGTCTGGATTTACAATTACCAGTCTGCATCTTCATAGAAAAAGGTCCAAAATCAGAAATTTTAGCTCCACCCAATTAAAATCTTCAATAAAATCCCAAGAAAGGACACACTATTTTTCATTGATTTTAAGTCAGACTTACTTTTAAAGAGATCAATATCTGATGAATATTCCAAGTACAGTCAAAAGTCGTTAATTCGGACACCCGTAATCCGGAATGATCTATAATCCGGACCTCAAAGCTACAAACTTTCTGCGCATGCGTCGCTTTCACGCATGCGCACAGGCGTTTACGAGAGCGCGTAAGACCCTTCCGGCTGCGAATATGTTTGTGCGCATGCGTGTTTAATGTGTAACGGAGTTATACGCTAAGCTAAAGTTATCTAATTCAGTTAATGTTTCAGATTGCGTTGTTCCTTAATCTTCGAATTGGATCCGGCTTATTATTTTTTGCAGACTGTTAGAGCAATTTTATAAAAGTAAGCTTGAACTTTCGATTATGTCAAATAGAATTTCCGATATATATTTACTACAAAGCGAAAGTATGTTTGAAATCCGAAATCTGTTTATCAATTTCACGCTGCTCTGCGGCAGAGGGAGGGCAGAAACGTCATTATTAGATTATGATAGATTAGAAAGATTATGTCAAATAGAATTTTCGATATATATTTAATAATATGTAATTTGTATCTACAAAGCGAAAGTATGTTTTGAAATCCGAAATCTGTTTATCAATTTCACGCGGCGGATTGGAAGTTAATCTGTCAGCACTATCCTTATCTTCAGGGCAGATGTTTTTATTTTATTTAGTTTATAATTCCGTACTAAGTGTAGTATTTCATTTCGATGTACTCCGTCTTTGATATGATTTAAATCAAGTTCCTCGTCATTATAATTCGCTTCCGATAGTGAAGAAAGTGACCCAGAGGTTATTGAAAACGAAAACATTTCGATTGACAAATTAGTCGGTATTCTCAACACAGCAATTATAGGACTTGAACAGCGGAACTTTGTAAGTAAACAAGAAATTATGTCTGTTTAATAGAATTAAAGAGAAAGTATTATCACATGAAACGAAGCAACTTACATTGAAGGAAATGTTTAATAAAGTAAACAAATAAATATTAAGCTTTTTCTTTTTGTAAATTTTGATACCCTTTAGATCATAATTGTTCTTTATTTCATAAATTACGGTTTCATATTTTTAATTTTGTAATTTCTGCATGCCATCTTACCAGATTTAAACTGATGATCTATAATCCGGAAAAATCGATAATCCGGAATCGCCGAAGTCCCGAGGAGTCCGGATTAACGACTTTTGACTGTAATATAATGATAATTTAGTCATATTTGTATTAAAAGAAGCATGAGTGCATATATTTTTTAGTGTATGGAAAGAATTGCGCTTAAGAAAAAAATTTGATTTTTGTATATTTGATTGAAAATCTTGTTGAAATTAAAAACGCAAAGCCCGATTTTCAAAGCCAGAACCCCGCGGTAAAACTTGTTACAGACAGAATCTTCCTCTAGTTTTTTTCAGCATACTGGATGCTCCTGACGGAAATTGTAATCATATAAAATATATTTTTATACATATTACATCGCAACTTTAAAATTTCCTATTTTTCATACAAAGTTTTTTAAGCAAATAGTATGTTTCCATTTTGGTTTCTTTATTTCAATTTAGTTCACGGCATAAAATACATATTTAAACATTTTAAACTATGATCTATAATTTTTTGAAAGAAATCCTAGCACAGAGGATTTCAAAAGAATTGTTGCTGATTTTAATATAAACCTTAGTTAAATTATCAAGAGATCTTACCAAATTAAAGTCAAGTGCCCATTAGTTTAACAATTAATTATTTGAATTAAATTTGCAACATGAAAGAAATTTTTATTAAATTTTTATTTTATACTTTTATTTGCTTTTTCAAATCTAGAATTTAAAAAATGCATAAAATTTACATATTCTAAATACTTTTAGATTTTTTAGAAATAATTTTAGATGCGCCTCAGTATTACAGTACGAAAATGTAATGATTTCCCCGTGTTTCTGTTGATATGTATATTGTGAAAAAATGTAATTTTTAAAAACCTTTCATTTATTCCATAGGTTCATTAAAAGCTGGTTCTGCTGAAAAAAGACGTTAAAGACAAGAAGCACTGCTGAAAAAATAATGGGAGTTTCTGCCATGCATTCTCAGTGATGAACAGCTGCAGAAATATGGATTTCCTCTTGATTCTCCTAATCGTGCCAGAAGAATTATCATGTACGAAAAAGACCCTGCGGCGTCACTTTCTTCAAATTAGAACACGGAACTTACGAGTCAGAAACACCATGCTATTTCCATATTAAAAAGTTATCGTTTTCCATTGGTGTTCCTACAGCTGGGGCGAAACAAACCTGCAATGGGAACTATGTGTCTGTGTGCAAGGTGAAGTCGTGGATACTTCGGTGGTCTTCCCACACAAATATGTGAAAAGGTATAAAAGGTCTTTAAATAGTCTTTGGCCTCAGAATACTACAATAAATTAATTCAACATAGTATTTGTGACTATGATTCCATTTAGGATGCCAGAATTTACATGGAACTTATGCTGTGGAAAATCAATTCCGATAACTTTAACATTGATTCTTTCCTTTTACATTGCACCCAACAGCAGTCTTCGGTACCCAAAGAAGAAAATTGTCCATGCGATTTTGTAATCGACGAGACAGATCCTTTATGCATGGCAGTCTGTGGTGCTGTTTTTGCAGAATCTACTGTAGACTATGAGGCACATTTAAAAAATTCACGATATTACCAAAAGCTGTCTTGGTTAGACTGCGATAAAAACTGTCTATGCTGTTTTCTTGATAAGCATTGGACAGTATTTTTCGGTACTGATAGAAGAAAAAGGGCCACCTGGCATGGCACAGTAGCTAATTCTTTATCAGCTGGCACTAACAGATATTTTGTATCTGGTATTGAAATATTAGGTGAGACTGGTTGGTGGTCACTTGAGAGCTCGAAATTACCCTCTGTTGAGGAAATTGAATCCTTTACCCTAAACATAAAACCAAATCGTAAATGCAAGACTATGCAGGAATTGACTTCTGCACCTATTGTTGAAGGTTCCAGAAAAAAGAACCAAAATATTGTTGAAGCTGCTGTAGCTTTAAAGGAGAAGAAAACCTGCATTGTAAGTTATAATAAGATGTCAAAACAGAGGAAGAAGGGTGAAAGTAAAACTAAAACTAATCCTTCACTGCCACAGAAATTAAAACTTGTTGTTTTAAAATTTAATATACCTACTGATTATGAGTTTCAAGATAATTTAGATCCTAAACATGATGTGCCTAAAACTATAATAAAATCAGAACTTAATATAATACCATCACTTTCAGAAGATCCAATAAGTCTTTCCATAAAAGATCAAGCAAAATATATTATTGACCTTGATATCCAGGATATATCCGATATAATTGACTTTTTTGCTCCATTAGATATATCAAATTGTTTGAATTCTTTTCTCCATGATCTGCTCTCTGAAATAATCTCTGATAAAATCTTCAACTCATGATTATGAAAGTGACGAAGAGAGTAGTAATTCTTGTAATAAGCTGAGTACTATGAAGGTACAGCAGCATCCTGATACCAGTCATAAGAGAAAAGCAGTTACAAAAGATGACAGCCCAGTAAACGAAACAGTGCAAAAGTCAAAATTCACACTTATGACGCCGTATGAAGAAGATCAAATTCTAAAAAAAATTGCAAAAGTATCCAACAGCAATGAAAGAGAGGTCAGATGTGAGGCATCACTACAGAAAGTTAGTGGTTAGGAAATTGAAAAGAGAAAAAAATATTCCATTGTTTGGTATAGATGCAGAAATAAGATCCATAAGAGGAATAGCTCCACCTGATTATGCTGATAGAGAGTATTTAAACAAAGTTAACAAATGTAAAAATATTCCTGATCGTTTTCAGACTAACCATTGTAATGTCCGGGGTAAATTTTCTCAACATGCATCTTTTGTTACCCGTTTAATGGGCCTTGAAGATGAGCAACAAGAAAGTGTTATTAGCCCTTATACTGAGTTTTAAAGCCTTTTATATTTTGAAACCATAAAATAAAACCATTAAAATTGCGTTTATTGGAAGAAATTGTATCATACTCAAATCGCTTTAATCCTAACTGGAAACCTCCGAAACAGATCCCTATAGACTTTTGCTACGTTCCACCTTCGCACATACCAGGGATCAATGCTTTGTGCCATGAATTTTTTTTTGGCCAAGAATATACCTGTCTGAGACACTTCAGTATCCTGATTTTAGCTGTGTTGCATTATATAGGAAAGTCATAATAGGATTTGCTTTCATGGTGCCAGATGTGAAGTACAATGAAGCATATATTACTTTCATATTTTGTCATCCGGAATGGAG